TCAGAAACATTGTAATAAAACATTGTATGTTCTCATTTTTATTTCATATATTATATAAATTCTATTGATCTTCCATTTATTTGTTCATACTATTATTCCGCTTATCTATGTGTTATGTCTATGTTAATATTTATTGGAATCAATGTAATGTGACATAAGACTAATTTTTTTGATTGCAATTTGTAATTTAATAATTCATAATATTATTAATTATTAATTATTAATTATAATTCATTGACAATTTATATATTCCGCTGACATTTAATTCATAAAGTTCAATTATTTCTTATTTGAATAATTTCTTATTTGAATAATAGATGGCACCATATGATCCTTTTTTTGTTTTTTATTTTGAGTTTATATTATGTTTCATTCGCATGTTACCGAATGTTTAAAATATATATATAAGATTATTATCTGTACGATTCATTACATTTAACTTTACATGAATAAATTTCTTGTTGTTGTTAATTTAAAAAAAAATAAAATGATTTTTTCATCTGAAATCCAATAACTTTAAAAAGAAAAAATTTTCATGAATTAAAATATTTTAGCTTATAATGAAAATGATTTTAATTATTTAAAATTATTTGATTTTCCGAACATTGCAAAAAACGTATAACGTGACATATCTCTGGCTAATGTAATAATGACAATAGAGATAACATGACGTATTTTGCTCCTACAAAAATTCACTAAAAAAGAATTTGCTACTTTTAATAATAGAAGAAATAGTACCTCTTCTCCATCTGGCAATTCTAAAAGTGAGAATTATATTATTTGTGATTGTGATTGAAAGTATTGTGATTGAATATAGTATGGTATCGTCTTTACCAAAATAACTTAATTTATTAACAAATTTTCACGGAAAGAAAATATGATACGACATTTGGCTTTGATTGAAATTTGTAGTAGAGATAATATGATGTATTCTGCAAAAATTTATTGCAAAATTGAGCCACTTTTATAGAAATATAGCATAATTATTGTTCGTCCGACAATCGTGGATTACATATGACATGACGATATAATGACGCGATGTACTTGTTAAATGAGAATAAAAGTAATGCGATATGATTTGTTTAAAAAGAAATTTTGTGGTAATACTGCGCATGCGCAATCTATGTAATAACAAAGTTTTCACAATTAATGGCCCAAAAATAAAAAAAATTAATGGAAAATATCTTTTGTTAATGGAGTGAAATCTGATTTAGCATTTGTTATGAAGTCATGGAATTGAAAGAAAAAAATCATAGATTTAGAAAGGATAAAATAGAGATCTTAAGAAAGAAATTTTTGCAAATAGAATATTTTTGTATCTCAAACAATTAATATATCACGAAATAGCTTATAATAATAAATAATTTTTGTATACTTTATCCAATAGAATAAGAAATAGCACTTTATAAACACCAACTTACGCCGAGTAATTTCTTGATCATTAAATATGTAATATATTAATATATTATCATATAAAAAAAAATTTGATTTTCCTAGATTTTGATCATGTGATTTTGTTTATTTGATGAATCAACTCAGTGAAGAATAATAAATAATAATTTTTTAAAAACATAAAGTTTAATGCGAGATTTCTACTTAACAAATTAATTAAGTACATAATTATAAAATAATTTCTAAATATATGAGAAAATAAATCTACAAAGAAAGTTATTCTTAATCATCATCTATTAACAGTTTAAATTATATTTAAAATAATATTTATTTAAATAATTTATTTAAAATAATAAATAAAAACAAGATGTATTTTTAACATGTATTTAAAAAAAACTTTTTTATATATTATAAAATATTGATATTATTTTTTTTATTTATATAGTTTGATTATAATTTTATTTAAATTATTAAATTTTATAAAAATATTTTTATTAAGATATATTGATGCTATATATATTATTGATAATTTTCATAAATTATTTTATACATTATAATATACTACAATTATACTTCAATTTCTTTATATCTCTATATATTTATAGAATTTGAAATATCTATAGAAATAGAAAAATAGATTTAATATTCAATATGTTTAAATACATTTTTTAATATACAATTTAAAGTTTTTAATATACCATTAGATATCATATTTGTTATTCTTATAGCATAAAAATAAAAGAATATATATGCAAAAAAGATTATATAATTAGAAATTTTTTTACAGAAAATTTAATTCATAATCAAATTTTAATCTTAAAAGCATAAAAATCTGACAATTCAATTTTCTTTTTCAATAAAAATAAATAACAATTAATTCTAAAGTCCATCATAATTTAATATAAGTAACCCTTATATAACTATATGGAGAGAATGTAATTTTAATATGATGCATTTCATATATAATAATCTTTATATATTTATATAACATAATTTAAATATGATACATTTATATAGAATTCATAAAAAATTATTATAATAAAATTTTATTTATATACATTTATTAAAGATAAGTAATTTATGTAATAATTCATTAATTTTTTAATTATTTATGATTTTCAAATAACTGGAATTCAAATTTAGATGACAGATTCAATCATAAATCAATATCTAGCTTATATTTTAGATTATGTAATATATTATATTATATTACATTTATATTTTTGTTCATAACTGATAATTACAATTATGATCAGCATATTTTAAGTAATAAAAACTTGACTAGAGTTCACTTAATTGAATATTAATGAAAATTTTGTTTCAGTAAATAAAATTCTACTTTATTTTAATAAATTTTTTTCAAGTATTATAATATTTAATTTATTTATAAATATTTTAATTTATCACATTAAAAAAAATTATCTTCATATTTTTTGTATAACCTGTATGTTATTTATTTATCTTTTTAATTATATTTTTAAAAGTAGTATTTATCCTATTGCTTTAATAATAAATGCACTTTTTGTTTTAGAATAAGAATAAATACAAAATCATTCCCATTGTTATGTAATTTATGTAAATTTCCGTAATATTTCTTTTACATAATGATTTTCTATTTCATTAATTTTAATAAATTTGTTGTTTTGTAATTGATATTTTGTTAAGAAAATTTTTCTGAATTATATGAAACTTTTATTTTTCTTATCAAATAATTAAAATTTAAGAAAATAGTCTTAAAATATAAAGCAATATGTAATTTCAATTATAATTCTAATATAATGCTATTTTTATAATTGTATGTATGGAATCTAATATATGTTATATGAGGGTTACATATATTTTTTTTTCATAGAAGATAAAATTGATATGTCATTAATAATAATCTTGATCAGATGCATAATAATTGCACATAATTTTTTATTATACATACCTAAGCTTTTTTAAAATTATACTAATAAATTCTCAGATTATTTTCAGTTATATCATTTATAGCTATCTATGGAAAATCAATTAAAAAATATGAAATATTTGTAATATATTTTATATATGAAAAAAAAAACATTTGAGAAAAAATTTTAATTTTTACATAAACTGATTTTGGAATAATTTAATAATTAGTTTTTTGACAGAAACAGATGTAAAAATTTGTAACAATTGTATTTAAGAGTATAGAGATATAAAAGAATAGCAAACAATCCATTATTTTATATCCATGTTGTATTAGTTTATGTCTGTTAAAAATATCAAGTAAATGATTTATGAAGATACCACTTAAGAAGATACCACAAACATACATTTTATGAAATATTAAAAACCTTTATATTTTCTTTTTTTTTTTTTTTTTTTTTTTTTTTTTTTAATATTCTTGCATTTTCACACGCACATTAAATGTAAAATATTGGTTATTAAGTTTTTAAGATAATATTCTAAAAAATGTATAATATTAATATTGCCAAAAAATTATAATTTTGCATTTCATATCTATATAAGTTTGTTTTTTGTTAATATTATAATTTATAAGAATGAAGAATTAATTATAAACATACAGTTTCTATGTATATTAATTTATCAACAAAAGAATATGTGAGATCATACTTGAACATAAAAATTATTTGTTACATCATGGCGAAACAGTAATATTAAGTTATATAATATTAAATTATTAATAAATGTTAAGTCAAAATTAATAATTTATAATAAAATAAAATTAATTATAATTTTTTAATATTCAATGATTCTTTTATTTAAAACAGATAATACGTTACTGTAAAGAAAATAAAGAACAAGTTTCTCTTCGCATGCACAAAAATGAAATGTCTCAACTGATAGAAATCAAATCATTTGAATGTATATTAATAATAATGTCATAAATCTAAGAAAATCTCAAAATTATTAATTTTTCAATACATGTTTGCAAAAAAAACACATTAATATATTCCAAAAAATTATTTACCTTTTTCCTTCTCTTTTTAAATAACTACATAAATACATAAATATTCTATAAAATACATATTTTTTTGCTTTTATATTGCTCTATTATGTTTACGTATATATCAGTAACAATATTTAATATAAAATTGATTAAATTACTAAATTGCCAAATTAATTTCATAATAATTTATATATGATATATTTAAAGATAATCAGAAAATTTATTTTCAATCATTTTGACAAAATTATTTTTATGTTCATTGCATTGAATTTTTACTCATTTTTAAAAATTATAAATGCTGTTTCATGTTATTAGAATGAATCCCCAAAATTATATTTTATATTAATTTTATCAATAAAAATCAATAAATAAAAATAATCTTTATATATTGTGTATTTTTTTCTTCTTTTCCATTTTTCTTTTTGTTTATAAAGTTAGAATTATTTGCAAAAATAAATTGTATATAATTCTAAATTATAAAATTGATTGAAAGTCTTTCTCATTCTTGTAAAATATGTATCTTTAAATTCATAACTGTTAGCAGTTAAATGATACGATTTATGTATAGTATTCTTATAACTAGTCATTTATTGATGATGAATCATTTTGTCGTTGAGTATCATTTTTTTAAAGCGGCACAAATTAAACATATATCTAAATAGATTAAAAAAAAACATTTTTCTTTCTTCTTTCTCTCTTTTTTATTTTTTCATCCTTTTCCTCTTTTTTTAACTTCATCGCGTAATGTCAACTACCAGAATAACTTCGTTTTCTATCATGCGTGTAACAATTAACATAAGTAATTAACATTTATATATTTCTACAGTGCGTTTCATAACGCTTTGGACGTGAGTATTGTTCGTTTTATATAACGAACATCTAAACGCCTACAAAACCTCTCACTAGATATTGTTTTGTAACAAATTTAATAATTTCATCAAACGATCGATGGAATTTATTATGATACGTTTTGTTTAATCCCCTTGGTTATTTGCATCCATAATTTGGATATATCTTTTTTCAGTATATTTCGATATAATCTTATATTGCTTTCCTTCAGGTACCTCCTTCGCGTAATGATTTTTGTTGTTCTAAAAGCCGTTCCAAGGGAGAGGGTCCAGGTCCAAACCATAAAGATTGTTGATTAAGCCTAGTCTTTGTTTGATCTTGATTTGATACATTACAACTTTGTGCATTAGATCCCCATGTATTATTACTGCTAAATAGTGAGTAAGTATTTCCTATGCTGATTGATTGATTTGATTTGTTGTCTACCTATAACCATATGTATGAAGATTTTTATAGTATTCAAATATATGTAATATAAAATACATATAAAATATATATAAAAATAACAAGATTTTATTTTAACTATATAACACATACCTCTAAAGATTTAGAATTATCAAAATTGTTTCCAGTGTTAAAATGCTTCATATGTTTAGAATCTGATGAATAATTGTTTGAAGTTTTTAATGAAATTTGTGGTATCATATTTCCAGAATTAGAAGAATCTTCCCACTTATGATAGTTTTCCATAACAGATGTATCTTCATCATGCAACTGTATACCTCTATTTGTTGAACCCCAACAAGGCATAGAAAGCTGTGAATGGTGACTATCTTTCCATAAACTGAAATTTGTAGTTTCGTAATTTTGAAAAACTGGATAATTTGTTGTAGATTGAGATTGATTTTTTGACATGCCCAAATGATTAGATAATGAAAATTCCAGAACATCTGAATTTTTATTATATATTGATGATGACAGTTGTTTTGGTGGTATTTGATTAAAGGCATCTTGATTAAAATCATTTTGCTTAAAATTAAACTGAAAATTCGGATTTAGTGAATTACTTGGTATATTTGATACATTTGGTATCATAAGTGCAGCTTGATGAAGTTTCTTTTGATATGTATTTAATGTTGACAAAGTAGAAACATTAGCAATAGTTGAAGTAGCTTGATTATGTAAAGATATTGTATTTGGTCTGAGGTTATTTTTCATAATATTTTGTTGTTGCAGAGCCAAATTATGATTTTGTTGAATATTCAAATTACGATTTTGCTGCAAACCAATATTTCCTGTCTGTTGAGGATTAATATTCTGGGAAGCATTTATCGACTGTGTTGAAGATAAAATTCCAAGATTTTGATGTAACAATGTATTCTGAGATACAATATGAGTTCTCTGATGCATAGTTCTATTTTGATTGGATGTATGTAAATTTATATTCTGTGATTGTGATGCTGAACCAGTAAAATGTCCTTGAATTGGATAACTTGATAGATTTCCAATTTGATTCGTAATGTAATTTTTTGTAAATTGTGGATTTTGTACATTAAAAGTTGGATTTTGATAACAAATATTTCCTGCACATTGAGATATTCCAGATATTGAATTTAGAATCCCAGATGCTTGCTGTTCTTTTATAGAGAGATGATTAATTTGAGTAGATTGTGACATAGTATGCTGTAATTTTGTAGTTTTTGCTAGATTTTGAGAAGACATGATTTGATTTTGCATAGCTGTTGTAACAGAAGGCATCAATGGTAATCGATTTTGAACTGTGATTGGAGTTGTAGTTGTATTTGAAGTATTATTCAGCTTTGATATTTCTCCAATAACTGATATATTTTTATTTCCACTAGGAGTAACACCTTTTGTTGGACTTATCGATATTCCAGTTACTTTAGGCTTTTTCTCAGTCTCCTCTTCTATGTTTAATGGAGAAACATTTTTAAAAGTAACTTGCTTTTGTTCATTTTCAGCCCGTCGCATTATAGTTTGCATTGCTATGTTTTGTCTTGGTTTTCTAGGCTGCACATTAGTGTTTTCAAAAGTATTAGATTCTATAGCAGTGATTAAAGTTGTATCTTTACTTCGCTCTAATGAACCTTGAGGTTTTAAGATACCTATTCTTTTATCTAGAGCATGTTCCAATATATCAACATCTGTAGAACCTTTACTGCTAGCAGATTCCGAAAGAACTGGACTAGTAGATACGACAGATTGTCTTCCTCTATTTAAACTGAGTTCTTCTAATTCTTTCATCAATTCATTGCTTAATCCATTTCCTTCACTTATAGAACTAAATTTATTCTCACCTTTTTCTTCTCCTAATGTAATAGCAATTAATGCAGTACCATTAATTTTATATTGTGCTAAACAATGACCTAAATGAAGGATACGAATTGCTCGCAATTTATTGGAAGCTTCAATATTATCTTCTAAATCGGTACTCGTAAATTTTAAACATTCAAAACTTTTTTCTAGCGGTAAAAATCCCTGAAGATCACGATCCTCTGGCAGTGGTACCTTAATATATTGATCATAAGTGAAATCGATTACGCAATTCTGCAAGGCATTTAATAATACACATAGACTGGGCCAAATTTGAAGCCTCGATGTAAAAGCTAATTCTTCTAAAACTGTGGGTTTTGTATGAATCCAATCAAGGCACAGTTTTATAGAAGGCAAAGCAAAATACTCAATAATAGAATTTTTTATTGTATAGACAGGTAACAATAAGGCAGACAAACTTCCAGCTATAAGATCCAAAATACAATCACGAGCAATTTTTTCATCAGATGTTAATTGTTCCTGTTTTAATGATTCAGTATTGCCAACAACGACACTTGTATGTTCTAAAGCATACAAATTAATTACGAACATTTGAACAAGCATCCAAGAGCTAAAACTTTCTGTTGCAACTAAAGCTGTTAATGTTTCAGTTAATAATTTCGCATATGCAGAAGCAATTTTTAGATCTCCAAGATTGTGAATCACACCATGAAGCTTTAAAAAAACTGCTATATACTCTTGAGAAGTTAATTTTGTTTTTCCATCTATATTAACTGATGTATCATTTAAAGCAGAAGATAATGTTTTTGCCAAATTTGTTGTGGCAACAGGAAAAGGATGTTTTACAGCAACAGATCGTGTATAATGAAATACAGTTGCCAATTTATTACCGCGCGATGCTTCAAGAAGGGCTAACTGATTATATGGTTGACCACTGGATGGTGATAATGATACTGCATGCCTATAGAATAATTCAGCTTGTTTACTCTCATTTCTATAACGAGCAATGTCTCCTAAATGCACAAGACAATACTGGCATGCATAAAAACATGAAGATTTATGAGGCACTGATAACTTTTCAATAGCTTTCCATGGTGATGTACATCCATAAATATAACCCTTCCTAAAAAAACATGTATAATTATAAAATTTGTTTCTCCATGATTCTTTATATAAATAAATTTAAAGGATTATAACATTTTTGAAAATAATTCTTTAAAATTGTTATATATTAGTTGTGAATAAGTTACCAAAATAATGTTATAACAATTATATAAAAAGATTCCAGCTTATATTGGATATGATTCTAATTTTATAAAACTTATATTATTACATTGATTTCATATCAGTTCTAAAATATCATATATTATTAATCATATGCATAATTATAATTAATGCATATAAATAATATACCAATAATTGAAATTATTTTTTTATCTAAATCAAATACACAAATCCAAATTAATTTCAGAAATAATCAATAATATTATTTATCCATTATTATAATAAAAATTATCAAAAATTATTGTAATAATAAGATATCTAGTAATAATAAAGTTTATTTATTATTATTTATTATATATTTTATAAATGAATAAACAATCATACTGATTTAATATTGATATTCAAGCAATCTTATACAAATATATATCAAAATCAATATAAAATCATTTTAGAACTGATATAATATTTCTATGTATATTGAAATCATAATTGATAGGCTAAAATCTTTTTAGTCTATTTATTATAATTTCGCATCTTCGTAACTATTTTAAGAACTAATATTATAATTATTTTCAATCTTTAATTTATATTTTTTAAAAATTAGAAACATAAGTAATATGTAACATCTAATCTATTTTATCTAATTACCTTCTGAATGGTAAATCTAAATCAAATGCAGTACAAATTTCTTGTAATAATGTTAAATAAAAACCACTAGCTGCTTCTAAGCACCAACTAAGTAAAGCTTGAGATTCTCCACGTTTAGGATTTTTCCTGTCTTTTGCTTGAGATTGTAAAGTTGCTATATAATTTTTAAATCCAAGATTCCAAAGTTCCTGTTCAACTTTTCTATCAAGAGCATATTCCAAATCTAATATCAGAACTTGTTGATATATTTTCTGTAATTGTTGTTGGCATACCCATGCATCACTATCATTTAAAAGATCTCTACAACGTTGTACTTTATCCTTTAAGGGCTCTGCTTTCCTAATAAAAATAATAATCAAATAAATTTTTAACAAACTTTAGATAAATATTTTTTTATAATATATTTTTTTATAATATTTATAACTATTTAAAAACAATATTTTTATTTTTAACTTACTTTAAAGCTTGTACAGCTGCGTTTAGGCCCATAGTTTATATACCTTAAATTTCTGATATAAAATATTTTATCTATGAAAAAGAAAAAACTAGATACTATTATTTAATTTATAAAAATATTTAATATGTAATATATTATATATCATATTATCATCATTATTGTTATTATTATTATATATATTACATTATATATATGTTATATATTACATGTTTTATATTATTATATATTTAATATTTAATATATTGTATATATTATTATACATATGTATATATATATATTATGAATAAAAATATGTTAAAGAATAATTTAAAAGGTTAAATTCATAATTATGTTAAAGTATACAAATAATTACATTTAAACTTACACATATGACATTTATTTCAAATTATATAAATAAAATTATTAATTAAATAGATAAATATATACTTACAATATTATATTTAAGATATTAAATTTTGAAAATAAAATAAAATATTAGCAAATCTTGTATATGATATAATTTACTTATTATATTAAGGACAATATATCTATGTACATATATGTGTGTGTGTATGTGTGTGTATGTATGTATATATATATATATATATATATATATATATATATTACGACTC